CGAACTTTGTTAGGTCAAGAACGTTGAGATGGGCAAGGCAAGTAGAACACAGGGAGGAGGTGAGAAATGCGCAATACATTTTGTCGGAAAATCTGAAGGAAAGAACCCACGAGCATAAGGATAATATTAAAATGGATGTTAAAAAAACAGGATGCGTGCGTATGGACTGGATTTATGTAGTTCAGGATAAGGTCCAAGTGGAGAATTTTGTGAGCACCAAAATGAAAATAGAGATCCCATAAATGCATTTATCAGCTTCTGAAGAAAATGTTTGATCCGCCTTCTCCAAACTTAACTGCGAAAAGTTGTAGATATTAATTAATTCTGCTGAAAATCAGAGGTCATGTGTAATGGACGGTGGAAGACAGCAGCCGAAACATCCTATCCTTTAAATTCAGGATCCGTAGGTTCTGTTTAGTGAGAGACATTTAATTCGCCATAAAATACATTTTTATAACAGCATCGGCTAGTCGGCCGATAAACATTTCAAGTAGAAATTTCGCGATGAAACTGCCAAATTTTTATTTTAAATTTTCTTACCCCGTAACTCTACGGGCATATTTGCAAGCCCACTACCAATTTTGCCCGCGAACAGTTTCGTTGAAATCGAGCTTGTTGCGAGAGGCGCGCAGTGGTGACGGCCCCCCGAACACTGTTTCCCTATGACACATGTTGCGCACACATGCACAGTGGCCGGTCGCTGGCTTTGTTAAGACTTACACTAACATAGCCTTTTAATACGGGGACATGCAGACACGCATGTGGGAGGGGAGCCTCTGCATTACATATTCAATTAAACAAGAATCTATCAGCTGGTTTCCTAAAGCATCTTAATCCGGAAAGGAAGGGAACAAAACATTCTTCAAATCCTGTATAGATAAGACTCATGCACGTGCGCTGATACGGAATTTTCTCCCCGCATCCACACCCCGCCGTTATGTTACTTGCGATACAGGGGTGCACATAGTAACTTTTAAAGTTTTATCATTTAAGTTGAAATTAGCCCTTTTATTTAAACTGCGTTGTCCGTAAATGTTCAGGCCTGAGACAAAACAGGTTGTTTTCATTATTTAAAATCCAAAAATAAAATTTTAAATCTCGAAGTTTCTCTGTAACGTTTAGAAGACCCCGCCATACGTCCCTAGCTTGAGCCTGAAAAATTCAGTCCACACATTTAAACTCCCATGTTAAGATTTATTTTAATATTATCCTACCATCTATGCATTAACCTTTCTTTCTTTCAGGTCTTCGGGAAAATGTAAAAATTTCAAAGTCAAGTTTCCGAAAGGAAGGATTTCAAACAATAAAACGAAATTAACTAAACTTCTGAATAAGCAAAATGTCTCAAACATATCGACTGTCCAGTTCCCATTGATCGCATCGCTCCCTCCGGCCGATTCCTTGCATGAATCTCGCATTATCCTTCCGGTGAACAAAACTGGCCGCATGAACTGTGGTTAAGTTCTGTCCCCGTAAAGACGTGTGCATTGCCCCACGGCAACTCCTTCGCCTTAAATTCACTTTTAGAGACCTAAACAGCTAGACGACGTGGATAAAACACAAACTACCACCGTCATGGGTGGGGTTTAACACCCCTGAGATGACGGGGTGCAGACGTGATGGGGAGGAGGCTGGCGGAGAGTGCCACAAAATGCCCGGATTACTGCGGCCGAGGGCTCCGTCGGTAATTACGCCGTAAAGGCTATTTCACATTGATGAGTAGCGAGTGTCTACCCCCACCCCTCCCCTCCCAAAGGCCTTTCTTGGTCACTTACGTGAGTGACACGAAGTTGTCAAATCGAGCGAACTGCCTGCAAACACCAGATAAAAAAAACTGCAATTCGCATTCAAATAAAAAAAGCGTAAAGTTTCACAGCGAAGGAAATTCTAACTGCAATGTTCAGTAGCAGCAGCACGGGAGATTTAACGACGCT